AAAAAAAAAAAAAAGAATCCTGATTGCCATTCACTCTGTTAGCTGTCCCTCTCATCTTTGTGTCATCTAAAAATCAGATGAGCGTACAACTATCCAAGTCATCAATAAAAATGTTAAAAAGTATGCATACAAGAATAGATCTTTGGGTACTCCTCTGGAGACCTTGTGTCATGCTAATATTGTCTCATTAACCACTTGTGTGAAGCCATACAACCAGTTCTGAAGGGTTCTTAATCTTTTTTGTGTCATAGATCTCTTTGTAGTCTGGTGAAGCCCATGGACTCCTTCTCAAAATGTTTTAAAATGCATTAAGTGAAACCAATTATATTGAAATACAGTTATCAAAGTTTTTTTGTTTTGTTTTTTTAAAAGTTAAGATCTCTGTTAAAGTTAAAGTTAAAAATCTCTGATCCAGTTCTTTATCATTTTGCCTCTTAGTACATCAGGCAACTCTATAAGACTAAGTTATAGGATTAGCCCTAGCCTATTCCTTCATCACCACCGAAAGTTCTCTATAAAAATGATTTTTGTGGGTTTATTTTATAGCCTGTAACTTTGCCAAAGCTATTAATTGTCAATTAGTATTTCTGCTGATTCCCTAGGATTTTCTAAGTAAACCATTATGTTATTAGCACATAGATTTAGTTTTATCTCCTCTTTGTATAACTTTATGCTTTTAATTTCTTTCTCATTTTATTCTTATTGCTAGCATTTCTAGAACTATGTTAAATAATAGAGAGGGGAATAAGCACCTTTTCCCTTACTCTTGTTTTTACTGGGGAAGTTTCTAGGACATACCACTTGAGCTGAGCTTTGAAAAAAGCCCAAGATTCTCCAAGGCAGATGTAAAAATAGAGTCATTATAAGTCTGCCAATTCATTTATAATGGAGGTTTAATATTGTCTATGGAGAACAATACATAGTCCATAAACATTTATTAAGTGCCTACTATGTGCCAGGCACTGTGCTAGTTACTAGGGATATTAAGATACTGAGAAAAGTAAAAGATATTCCCTGCTCTCAAGGAGATCACAATGACTTGCAGTAATCCTGGAAAAGAAGGTTGGAACCTGGTTATAGAGGGCTTTAAGAGTCAAACAGATGTTTGTACTTTTTCCTATAGGCAAGGGGCAACTTCCCTAACTTCTTTCCCCATACAATCTGATTGACCCCAGCTTTTCTGACACAGCTTCTGTTTGGGAAGCGTTATAAAAGGTCAAAGTACTCTCAGATCTGGTGCGTACCTGAGACCATGAGTCAACCTACCTTGATTATGACCAGACTAGTTTCTAGATGGATATGAGAATGACTACTACATACAGAGAAGCTAAGTGCCACTGATACTATATCCGTGCTGTGTAGACAAAGCAAACCTCCTTTGTTTGATGACTCATGAGTGCCTCATTTCATCCCAAAATCAAATCTTGAACTAACATGTTAAGTTTGAGGTGCTTATGGGACTTCTAGTTGGAAAGTTCCAGTGAGTAGTTGGTGATATGAAACTGTAGTCTCCCAACCTACGGAAAATGATGAGATCACCAAGTGAGAGTGTAAAGGGGTTAGTGAGCAAGACATAGATGAAAATCTAGCAAAGGAGACTGAAAACAAATGAGTCAGAGGAGAATCAAAAGAAGAAAGAGTATACAAGAAGAAATCAGCTGTCATATGCTGCAGAGAATCAAGAAGAATGAGTATTGAGACAGGACCATTAGATTTGACAGTAAAGAGATCATAGGTTGAATGTGGTGTGGCAGGTCTGAAGTCCCTGCTGCAGGGGAGGATGAGGCTAGTGGATTGCCTGAGTTTGGGAGTTCCGAGATGCTGTAGAGCTAAAGTTGGTTGGGTGTCTAGACTAAGGATCACACCAATATAGTAAGCCCTCAAGAAAGGGGGCCATCAGGCTGCCTATGAAGGGATGAACAGACCTAGGTTGGAAAAACAGAACAGGTAAAGTCTTTGGGCTGATCAATATTGGGATTGTTCCCATGAGTGGCTATACTTCCAGCCTGGGTGAGATGGGGAATCTAAAATTTTTAAAAATTAGAAATAGGGGAAAAAAAGGGAAGGAGAGAAAGAGATCATAGGTAACTTTGGAGAGAATAGTTTCAGTTTAAGGATGAGGTTTGAAGCCATATTACAGGACATTTATAAGAGAGCACCTTGAGTGTGGATGCCTTTTTCAAAAAATTTAGCTGAGAAAAGGAGCAAAAATAAAGGATGATAGAGCATGGTAAGAGCTAGTGATGATTTTTTAAGGATGGGGAGAGATTTGGGCATGTCTGTAAGCAGCAAAGAAGGATCCAATATATTAGGGAGAGCCTGAAGATTAGAGAGACAATGGTGGCGGGAAATATGATGAAAAGGAT